ATTTAAAGAATAAAAAGAATGAGATTGATAAACATCAAAATCTAGTCCAGCAAATATCCCTAGGGATAAAATCAATAAAAATTACAGAAAGGGATGCACCTATATGGACGATGTTTTGTTTCTTAAGCAGCATCTTAAGTTCATGGATAGTCACCAATTAGTCTTGCATGTCCTGTGTACATCATAAGTCTTATACAAAATTCTTCAAAAATGAACTGAAGAAAAAACAAAATGGAATGTTAAAATGGAAATTGAGTTTTCAAATCCCAGAATATATGGTCATTATTTTATATTTTGGAAAACCTGGATCTAAGAAACAGTTCAGATTAAGAACCTATCTCCGGTGTGATGGTTACCACAGTTTGGTAGGATATTTTAAGGGTTCTTTCACATATTCCTGCTTACAAATGCTTATTCAGTATCAAAATTCATAGTGAAAAAAAGGCATCTTTGAAAATGCTTCCCATATTAGCCTGAGGTCTTACTACACCATTACAGCATGGTCTCACGTGGAAGGTGGAATGGTTCTTCCAGCAAGGTAAGATGGAGAAACTGAAGCATTTTCAGCCTGAAGCATGCTGACTGGCAGGGAGCGCCTGCGCAGAGCGACCTTACCGCGTCAGGACAGTATCTGTTTTCACCTGTGACAGTTGACTTTCTTGACCTGAGTTTGAATGATGCATTTAACAGGGCAGAAGATATAGCTCGGTGGCAGCAGAGGGCCTGCCTGGCAAGCTCAAGGTCCTGAGTTTGATTCCTGATACCAAAATAAATCCACTTAGCAAAGGGGTGTTTTTTTCTAGAAATGAAATTATCCCTGAACTGATAGGGCTAGCATTGAAGTTGAAAGTGTTTTGCTAATGTTCTTTCTTCCTGCTTCCTTCTTAATATTTTAACTGCAGCGAAGGGAGCAATCTGACCCCAGCACATCACTACCCAGACTTCAGATTTAAGACATATGCTCCACTAGCATTCCGATACTTCAGAGAACTTTTTGGTATCAAGCCTGATGATTACTTGGTAAGAACCTGTAATTTTCCTTCCTCCTGAAGAAATGTGTGATGTGAATATTTGTTTCTTAGCAACAGTGACAAGTGTTTGTGCTTATTTTATAAAGCTCAAGATCATAGTAAAAGTTCCAAGTTTTATAATGATTATAAATTTAGCTTCAGGAAATAGGATTTAACTCTGCAGCTTCAACTGATAGTTAGAAAATCTGCAATGGTAATTTATACTCAAATAACTGATATTGGTTGCTACTTCAAATAATTATTATAACAGATATATTATAATTAGTTTTAAAGGCTCCTGTGAATTTCCCAGATTAGATTCCATTTGAAAGTCTTTAGTTACTTTATTTATACCATTTATCTCTGACCTAGCTTGGCCCACAGCCATTTTCACCTTGACCTATAAATTCAAATAAAATTCTAAACAAGCTGGATAGTTTCACGCAGGCTCTTTGTAGATATATTTTTACAGATACAAAGACGTGCTTTTATCCTCAGATTCGTCTCTTCCCTGTCTTCTTTCTGGCACACAGGAGATGCTAGCACAACACAACAGCCCTTTTGCGAGCTCTCATGTGACCTCAGAGCTTTGCTCCGCTCCTTTGAAGGAGCTTAAGTCCCTTCCATTGTAACATTCATCATCCGTTTCTGTTGTGAGAGGAAAATGGTTTGTTATAACTTAATCACTGTTTGTCCCCTGAGGCTCCTCAAAATGGGTACTAGAGAAGCCATAAGAAAGATAGCATCAAATATTTATTGTCAGTCCCATTCTGAATGATCTGATTTTAGCCAGATTCTTTTATAAGGCTTTTTAGAAAAAGTATAGCAACATTTGTCACTTACAACAAAGAATATTTAAAATATATCTTATGAGGTGGACAATTATGATAAAATTCAAGGCTGATTTCTATGCCATGCAGATGAAAAGCGATGATCTTCTTCAGCTGGTCCCTGAGAAGGTCCTCTGAATTCTGCCCAGTGAGATAATTCTTGTGTCTCAAGGCAAATGACCAAGTCTGTGTTGCTCCATGAGGACTGTGCAGACTGACTTAAGGACTCATTAGAAAACTCATGGAGGGCCGGCCAGATAGCTCAGTGGACTAAAGCGCCTGCTTAAGCAAGTGCAGGGGGACCAGGGTTTGGTCCCTGGTGTGCCGTGTTGGCTCTGCCCCCAGGGTGTTCTGAGACTGCGATTGAGACTGGGCGTGGTGGTGTGTACCTGTAATCCCAGCACTGGGGAGACTGAAAACAGGGTGATCCCTACGAGTCTGATCTGTGCAGTGAGGTCCTGTAGACTTTGTACTAGATACATTTTTTTTTCAAAAGGGGGGAAACTCATAACGGGTGCATGAAGTTATTCAGAAAAGGACCTTCCCCAAAGAGAGTGTGTAAGGTCAGAATCAGTAAAAGAATGAACATCTCGGCCCAGGGCGGGACGGACACAGCAGCCTGGGGCCCTCTCACTGGCTCGGCTCAGTAGTTCTTGAGCTTCTCACCAACCACAGAGACAGCATAGATTTGCAGTTGGTAGCTCTGACCCAGTCGCATCAAATCGATGCTAGGTCTCTGTCTCCTATGTTTGTTGCCTCACAGCCCGGGAAGTTCATCCTGCTGTCCTTAAATGTACAAGGGCTGATCAAAACATACAGCATGTACTTAAATATTTTTTACAGTAAAAGACACACTGCCATTAATCTCCCTCTGAACAGTCGCATTGCTTGGGATACATCTGCCCCCTCCTTCTTGCTGCTTTCTCAAGCAGCTGTGAAGTCCTCTCTTTTGTCTTTACAAGGCGACATCAAAAATACAGTTAAAGACACTGATGAAAGAAGATTCCAGAACTACTTCAGAAAGTGGCAAGAATGACAGGATGAGTGTGTTTGAAGCTAGAGGGGATGTTTTGAGGGGGATTGATGTCCATGTCTTTTACTGTAGTGCTTTCTAAATTTAAGCAATCACCATAATTATTAATTGTGCCTTGCATCTGTCTGCACTGTGCTCTGCCACACCATCTGCCTTAACTGAAGTGTCAGGTGCATCTGCCTGTCCATTCACAAGGGCATTTGCTCTGCATGTGTATGACCAGCAAGACCCTTTGGTTTGAAGGGCATGATGGTGCATGCCTGTAATCCCAGGATTTGGAAGGCTGATGTAGGAGGGGGGCCACAAATTCACAGCTGGCCTGGACCACACAGTGAGTTCAAGGCCAGCCTGAACTACATAGCAAGACCTTCTGTCAAAAAAAAAAAAAAAAAAAAAAAAAAGGGAAAAGAAAAACAAAGATTCTTTAAATTCTAGCCTCTTAGTCATTACTGAGGATCATATCAGCAAATCCACTGGGAAACCTAGTGGGGGTTTGATATTATGGAAAACAGAATCGATCTCTCATTGTGCACCACATCCTAGAAATTAATAGGAATCCAACTCACTTGTCCCTGAATTCCTCACCAGCCAGACTGACCTTACATCTACAGTTTGTAGCCCTGACCGAGTCACTGTGACACAGTGATTGCAGGGACTCAGACTGCCGTGTCTATAGCCCACAGACTGAAGACTTGGTTCGCTCACTCATCCCGAGCTCACAAAGCTGCCTTCTTTGGGAAGATCTTTGGCTGAACAATTTATTGCACAGCTGACGTGAGCTCCTAATGAGTCCTTGGACCAAAAAAATTATTTCCATAATGGAGTTGGAGAATTACCAAGGAGCACAGGGGATGTAACTAATGGGCTCTCAGGACTCCAGTCTTTGTCCCTGTAGCTGGAAAAATGTAAATTTGGAACCTATTATATCTAGAACACTGTGTGTTCAATTACAGGAGAATTCAAAAAACATAAAATACTCAAAGAAACTAGACTTATATTGGAATGGTAATTTGTTTATGTGGAAAAACAACCAACTCTACCATGCAGTAAGTAAGAAGACTGAAGCGCAGCACTAAATGCACAGGGATTCAGAGGAAAGAGTGATCTTCTCGTGGGGATGATGATTCACAGCCCCCGATGGTGTGATGTGGTTTCAACTTGTATCTTAAAAATCACAGGGGCTTCGATTAGTTAGAAGGGAAGGCACAGGCATTTCAGCGTTGAGGGGTGGGGCGTCAGGAAGACTGAGTTGGGGAAATGGGTACATTAGCCCTGTAGGACTGTAAGTGAACGGGTATCACTGGAGGAGAGGTTTTTGTTTGTTTTTTTTTCTTAATGTACTTGAGACAGGGTCTACAGGGTCTCACTACATAGATCGGACTCAGTTATTCTCCTGTTTTCAGCCTTCCAAGTGCTGGGATTACAGGCATGCACCACCACGCCCAGTCTCAATCGCCATCTCAGCGTGCCCTGGGGATGAGATTGGCATGGCACACTGGGGATCAAATGCCAGCCACTGTGCTCTGCCTAAACAAGCTCTTTAGTCCACTGAACTATCTAGCTAGCCTGAGGAGAGGGTTTGATCTCAAATGTTAGTAGAGCCAGACAATTCGACTAACTAGATCTTAAGTTATAGGAAAGTAACAAACTGTAGAGCTATTTGATGATGTTGAAAAAATTTTTATAAGATAATGATATTGTGGTTTTATTTTAGAAGGAGAGTCTTTGTCTTTTAGAAGAATATACTGCAGTATCTATGGATAAAATTATTTGATGTCCTTCATTTACTCCAAAAGAATTTTAGATGTTAGTCGAAAATTTCAGCTAGGAGTCTTATCTCATGACTATAATTAATTACAATGTGCTATGTTTGAAAGTATCTAAAAGAATACGTTCTGCATTTTCCCAACACACACACACACACACACACACATAGTGGCAAAGGATATATTAATTAGCTTAAGTCATCTCACTATATACATATAAACTCCATGTTTTCCACCGTAAGGATATAGTTTTGTCAATTAAAACTTAATTGAAAGTACTTTATACTATAAAGGGTAAATTGTACAGTATGTGATACAGCTCAACAGCACTGTTAGAAGAAGTTAAATTGAAAGCAAAGGGTCTGAGGGAAGCATGCAGGAGGGTAACAGAAGTGTGAAAGGAAAAATATTCATCATGAGTTGATGACTGGTGAATCTGAAAATAAGCCCTCAGATGTAAACTATACATCTAAATATATTTGAAATTTTCCACAATGAAAAAGGAGGGAGGAGTTAGAGCCAGGTAGGTAGATGTGATTGGCCCATTTTTCTCCTTTATTCACCTCGCACTCAGTTCAGTGACTCTCCGTCTCTGGGACCAGCGAGAAACAAAAGGGCAGTGGCACTCCCTAAACATCACTGCTGGCTCCCCAGCTGCTGTGGCCACCCACCCATACACTGGTATCACCCCCAGCCCAGAACTGAGGCAGTCTCCCCAATAAGTCTCAGAGCTTTGGAAACTCACCTCCACACCACTTTATCTGGGGTAACCGCTTAATGATCTGGGCTATGGCAGATGAGGAAAGAGTCCTTTGCGGGATTCTCATGCTGTGGAGAATCAGATCTAGCTCTCAAGAGAGGTTAGCCCACAAGGAATGTAGTCTGAGGCTAGAGTCATTGCCCGCATTGGTGGGAACAGCACCGGGTCTCAGCAGTCTTTCCTCATCCTTCCCCATTGCTCTGCAAACCTCTCAGCATCTAGAGTCACACCACACACCCACTAAGTCACAGGTCTCACAGGTGGTCTCCAGGTGGCCTTCTCCTCTCACATCCAGCTAGGACTGTCCCTTCTACAGAACACAGAGGTCGAACACCTCTAGCAAAGCACAAGTGGAAAGAATTAATTTCAAACAAAGTACAGAAAGTGAAATAAGACAACTCTTTAAAAACTCTGGGCCCGGGAGATGGCTGGCCCGGAAGATGGCTCAGTAGAATAAGCGCTTCCCAGGCAAGCGCAAAGGTCTGAGTTCAATCCCCAGTTCCACAAAAAAAAAAAAAAAATTGTTTGGGAGAATTACCCGCACGGGCCCCCCTCCTGTCCCTCTCTTGGACAGGAGCTTTCTTTCTCTCAGTAAATATATTTTGCTCATAAAAAAAAGAAAAACCTCTGTGTAAGGAAATAAAGGATACAGTGCAGATCTCAAGTACATCCTGGTATCTGTGAAGCTGGAGCCATTCAACCCATATTTGTAAAGCTCTGCTGCAGGAGAGACTTGGGACCATTATTTAGCCATTGGTAACTCCATAGATAGGTTTGATATTGGGCATCATGATATGTATGTATTTCTACTTAGTTCTGTGCTATTGCATCGAGATGTCTGCCTGAACTATTCTGCGTATGTTCTTCATATTATTAAAATGTACCATGTGTTTGCTGATTATAGGTTTCATGTTGAAACATGCATCATTTGGCTTGTAGACAGTGTAAAGGTGCTTTTGCCCGTAAACAATGCAAATGCTACTTCTTCCTCATTTATTTCTAGACAAACAACTCTTTGGCCAGGCCCACGGGCCCCAGAGCATAGCCATGTCTGCTTTGGCAACAGGCCACTGGTTCTTTCTTCTCTGCCTTGTGCCAGATATTTAGAAATCCAACTCATAGGAGGATTTGGGGGCTCACTTGTACATGGAAGAAAGAGAAAGAGAACAAAGTGAATATTTTATACTATCCAGGAAAGAAATAGCAGTTAGAATTATCTCCACCACATGGCACAAGTTTGCACTGTTAATTTGCATTGGCGAGGCCCAGCTGGGATGTACTTTGCTTTCTTCCCAGTGTGCAGAGCAGGCAGCCCTTGCAGGAAATAGAAGCGAGAAAATGAATCCGTCGGAGCAGCTTGCACAAATGAAGTGCCTGGAAGGTGCATAAAACACAGCCGCGCACGTGGGAGCTTGTTGATTGTAGCTAATTAAAATGTTCCCATCTCTCCTCTTTATTTGCTCTGAAAAGGCAGCATTTCAAAGGTTGCTTAGAAGAGAACATGGTATCAAAGTTGTGGCGTGAGAAACTGTGGAATTCTAGAGCACAGTGTTCAGATTCCTAATCAGCAACTGCGTGTCGATGTGTTATTATTAGCCCCCTAAATGTTATCGGAATGGATTGAAACCACTTATTTGTTATTTTATAGTTGTGTATAAGTTACATGATAAAGGAATATTTGACAAGTAATCAGTAAAATCATCTCCATTATGTCACTGTTCATAACAAAATTTGAGGCGTTGGTCAGGAGAGATGTCCAGGTTGGAATCCAGTGTTTTCTAGACAGTTTTTCGTTGGTCATCCTATAATTTCTCTCTGTATAACCCCTAATTTCTGCATCTTTTGTTGATTCTATTACTTTTTTTTTTTTCAGTACTGGGGATTGAATTCAGGACCCTGCACTTGCCAGGCAAGCACTTATTCTACTGAGCTATCTCCTCAGCCAATTTTATACTTTCTTAATATCTACTCCTACCCATAAGGAGAGTCTACACCCAAAACTTAAGTACCATGGAACAAAGAGTCAGAATTTCTAAGAGGAGTCAAGGGTCTGCTTCTAAGGAGTGTGGGGTCCACAATTTTATCTTCCAGGGTCTTGAATTTATGATTATATCACAGACCCTCCTTTTCTCTTGCTTCACTCGCCACATTTTAGTTCGTTTGAGGGGAATCTTCTGTCCATGGGAATGCCAATGAGAAGTCCACCACTTCCTCGGGTGGTACCGGTACCTCCCTCACTGCCAAGACAGTGTGCAGCAAGGCAAGCTGGCCTGCCCTGCATGTGATCACGTAATAAACAATGAAATCATAGCAGCCATACCACACACTCACTCTGCGTGAGCTTTCAAAAGCCCTTACCTTAGACTCAGATGGCGCCATGCTGAGTTATGTCCTGAGGACCACGTAACTAGCAACTGGCAGAGCTGCAACTTTACAAACACCAGGTGATTCCATATCTCATGCCCTTTTCACTGATCGCCCTTCCACGTGACACTGTACCCGTGGCTGCAGGCACTGGCTTTTCTGGCTTCCTGCCCATATTCTGATGATTGCTTTCATTTAGCTCATCCATAAGAGCTCTACTGCTGCTCAGCAGGAGGGTCCAGAAGCAAGGCCAGTGGAAGGCAGGGGACGTGGGCAGTGGTAATGTTACCAAAGAGAAAGAAAGTAGAAAGTAACACCTAGAAAATGCCTTTTGGGGCCGGTGAGATAGCACTGTGGTCTAAAGCACCTGCTTAGGCAAGCTTAGGCAAATGGGCAGGGACCGCAGTTTGATCCCCAGCACTAGGTGCTGCACCAGGCTGGCCCACAGGGTGGGCTGAGCCAGCCACAACAACAACAACAACAAAGAAAATGTCTTTTAATTGTTTTCCTCCAATTTTCTCTTTTTTTCACTCTCACTCTTGCTCTCACTCTCAATCTGTCTTCATAGAGATTTTTTGTATGATGGGGCCTTAAATATGCACAAGCTGAAAGCAGATGCAGAGGCCAGGGGTTCAATCCCTGGGCTTGCCGTGCCAGCCCCACCCCCTGGGGCATGCTAAGATAGCAGTTGAGACTGGGCGTGGTGGCATGTGCCTGTAATCCCAGCTCTTGGGAGGCTGTAAACAAGTGGATCACTATGAGTCCGATCTAGTAATGAGACCCCGAATACTCTGTAGACCCTTCCCTAAAATACAATCAATCAATCAAATAAAAATAAATAAATATCCACAAGCCCTCCAAAGCCATCTGGGAGACTGAGGCAGAAGGATAGCAAGTTTGAGCCCAGTTTGGGCAAATTAGCAACTTCTTGAGACTCTATCTCAGAAAAAAAATTTTAAGGGGGGTAAATTTGTGTGAAAGCCCTGAATTCAACCCCCACTCCCATGCCCAAAAGGAAAAAAAAAATGGAAAAGCCGAGAAGGTACCAGAGGACATTAGATTTGTGTTTCAGGAAGATCCCTGGCTTCTGAGCCCTGGAGGGGGCAGCGTGGCAGCTGAGATGAGGTGCTTAGCCTAGGAACCCAGGCAAGAAGAGAAGAAACCATTGAACTTGGGGTACTGGAGCACAGGTGGCTTGAAGGAAGCAGGCACAGCTAAGAGTTTGGATGTGGAAGACAGAGAAATGCAGGGAGGCAAGGATGGTGGCCAAGTTTCTGGCTTGGGGAACAAGGCAATAAGGTTTCTATTCTCTCTCTCTCTCTCTCTCTTTTTCCCTGTATTTTAGGGAAGGGTCTACAGGGTGTTCAGGGTCTCACTACTAGATCAGACTCAAAGTGATCCTTCTGTTTACAGCCTCCCAAGAGCTGGGATTACAGGCACTTGCCACCACTCCCAGTCTCAATCGCTGTATCAGTGTGCCCTGGGGGTGGGACCAGCACAGCAGGCCCAGAGATTGAATCCCAGGCCCCTGCACCTGCTTGCAGGTGCTTTAATCCACTGAGCAATTTGGCCAGCCCAGTTTCTATTCTCTAAGATAGCTGAAGGACGATGAGCTAGAATCGCCACGTACAGGTGCACAGGGTGTGCACCAGCCAAGCACTGCTCCCCGGCCCAGAGAAAGGAAGGGAGCCTGGAAGGCAGCCCTTCTTCTACCCCTCAGCCTCAGGTCCCAGCCCAGAGCTTCATCTGCCAGGACAAAGATACCCATTGTCCTCCATGCCACAAAGCTTCCCAGTCATGTAATAAGGCTGTGAAATGAATTTGACTGTGAACTTGTGTGGGAAGCACTTGCCGTATAGCTAAGCAGAAATGTCTATTGTAATGGTCGACAGACAGATCTGGAGCCCTGGAGTGAGATCTCGACTGGAGATGCAGATGTTGCCATCACTTAACGGCTGAGACTGTGTAAGAGAAGAAAACATCTGCTCAGAGAGCAGTGAGAGGGAGCGGATGTTAATGTCCAAGTGGTGAGCACGCCACACAGATCACACTGGCAGCTGTCATTTTGTGTGCCAAAAACAAGGCATCTTAGTTTATGGGAATCTGTGTTCTTGTACTGAGGATTGGACCCAGGGCCTTCACACTGAGCTTTGCAGTATCCCACATTTTTATATATACTGACTTGGCTGGGCTCCAACTTGTAATCTTGCTGCCTCAGGCTCCCAGAGTGCTAAAATTATAGTCACGCTCTGCCCCACCTGGCACCCTGGCCATTGTGCTTACCTCACTGGATAGATAGGACTTTTCATGATTCTACCGTGTAATACTGCAGTTGAAGAGAACATGTTGAATTAAAATGAACAGATCAACTAGGTCTTTAGAAATCTCCCCAAGAGCCTCCTTAGTCTACCCAGACCCTCCTTTTAAAGCTCATAGGCCTGTTTCTAGTAGATCAAGATGTGTAATACCATGGCTGTTCTCCTTAGGAGCATCACATACTGTGTATGTGGTGTGTGTGTGTGTGTGCATGTGTGTGTGTGTGTGCAAGTGCATGTGTGTATGTGTGCTCATATGTGTATGCATGTTTGTGTGTATGTGTTTTTGAGATGAAATCAGAAAATCAGACTGGCCATGAATTCGCTACATAGCCTAGGCTGGCCGGGACCTCCCGATGCTCCTGCTTCAGGCTTCCAGAGCTGTAGTTGCAGGTGTACACTGCAGCATTAAGTGTGTATAAATGTTTGCCTAGGGCTAGGGCTATGGCACAGATGCAGAGCGCTTGCCTGGCCTCCGCAGAGCCAGAGATCCGATCCCCAGGGCTGCCCAGTACTACTACTAATTCTGAGGATTATGATTAAATAAATGCTTGTTCATTTCCTCCTCTAGTATTCCATCTGCAGTGAACCTTTGATAGAGCTGTCCAACCCTGGAGCCAGCGGATCCCTGTTCTTTGTGACCAGCGACGATGAGTTTATCATCAAAACCGTTCAGCATAAAGAAGCGGAGTTCCTCCAGAAGCTACTGCCAGGCTACTACATGGTGAGGACCATGGACGGTCAGGGCTTCCGCTCTGGGTTTCATTGCTTCCTTCAACAGCTGTTCGAGGATTTGTCTATGGCTTTTAGATGACTCTTTGACATGTTTTTTTCATTTGCTTTTAGATTATGCCCAGATATTTGTTGAGTAGATTTTTAAAAGGTCAACTGGAACTATGATAGAGCAGAGCTGTTGAACAACCCAGTCCTGGTTCCTTTCCCTGAGTTCAAGTCTTGGCACCAAAATGAAGAGCAAAACCCCCCAGCAACCTTGGGTAATACAGGTGTTATCATTTTTTAGATGAGGCAAAGGTATGTGAACTATAGGGAAGTCATTCACACAGCTAGGGCTACGCAAGCAAGGGCTGCATGTGTAACCCTTGCACTATAAACAGCACTTGCGCTGTATTAACTACTGCACTTCAAAAGTTAGCGTTCAGGAGCTTAAACATGACAACATGGAAATTACCTTTCTTATGACATTTTAGGGACCTGGAAATAGTAACCTAACCTGGATGAAGTTAAGAGACATTAGAGCTAAATGTTGAAAAAAATGAACATTTTTCCTAAGCATTTCTACCATTTTCAGACCTCAGGTTTTATTGTACTTTCATCGCAGATGTTAATTTTCTGTGATCACAGTGACTACACGAGGACATGTGGCTTTCCGTAGCCCCTGTTCTGCCACGCACATGCTCTGAGGGGGGGGTGACTGTCACCTCCATTTCCAAACAAAACTGGTGAAACCCGGTGCAGTAGTGCTGCCCGAGTCCCAGCACTCGTGAGGCTGAGGCAGGAGGACTATAAATTCAATGCCAGCCAGAGCCACTTAGAGAGCTCAAGGCCAGCCTGGACTACAGAGTGGGACACTGTCTCCTTCAATCAATAAAAACAAAAAACAAAGTCACTGAGATGCTACATAGCTTGCTCGTATGTGAAAACAGTACTTCATTCCAAAACCCCCTGAAAACAGCATTAAATACTGGGACTTGTTGTCATTTGGAATTCTAGACATTGAAAATCTAAATAAAAACTTTAGTGGACAGCAAGCAGATTTTGAAAGGTTTTGGTCCTGAACAAATATTTCCTATTTTTAGAGAAAATGGAGGACAGAAAATACTACAGTCAGCTATAATTTCTTTCTTAGCGCTAGGTGTTACCAATATCTGGTGTGCACACTTTCAGAGATATTTTATGAATATACATTTAAAATTTAAATTAGAGAGCTCTCACTGACCACACCCTCTAATAACCTACTAAATGAGTAAATCTGAAACGTGGATATAATATTCCTTTATTTTGTAATTATTGCACTTAACATGGTAGCCATTAACTATACGTGACTATTGCAATTTAAAGAAAATTCA